GGTGGCGGCAGCGCCTCCCGTGGTAACATGAGTGTTCCCCGAGATGCCAGGCAGCAGCACTATCTTGCTGGAGAGCAAGCCTCCACCGCCTACGGCGGCACCGAGAGAGCCCGTCTGCTGGAATTCCGCCGGGGTTTGGGTCTGCCGGCCACGCTGGGTGGTCGTGATATCCATGTCGGTGTCCATGATGTCGTGTTTTCCGCGGTTTGTGTTGTGTCGTCTGTGTTGTCTCGAAGTGAGCGCTACAACTCACGGACGGCGTCATTTTTTTTGACACAAGTTGCACAAGTCTACGTCACACGTTTAAAATGACTGCACACAGGTTCCAAGTTTTTGAAAGACAACTGTCGAAAATTTTGACAAAAAAGTCGGTCCGTTTAAAACGGCCCTAAGATGTTATCATGAACGGAGATGAAAGGGCTTTTCCAACACGGAGATGTAGCATGGATCAAAGCATTTGTTGGATTTCAGCTTTTACAAGCGGACATCAACGCAGTAGTGTTTTAGCAAGCTTACGAACGCATATAGGATGATACCATCAGGATTGTCATTGGTAAGTTGAAGAGGAGATACTTTTACGATGTAAATGACAGTAGAAATAAGTCCTACATATGTTGTTGTACGTCGTATTGGTTTAATATTCATGTAGAGTATGAGACATTAAGTGAAAGTTTTCTGAGGTACATCTGCAATTGTCGGAAGGCAAAAATAAATAAATAAATAAACGCGGAGCCCGTGGTCTATAATCCCGGCACATACGACGCCGCGGGGAAACAAAACAAAAAAGGGTAGAGACTCCTCGGAAAAGGGAAACAAAATGAAAGAGGCAAACCAAAAAGAAAAAACAGCTACCGCACCGACCGTCCGAGAAAAGAGCCTTGTTGTTGTTTTGTTGTTTTCTTCACATTAAAAACCATCCCGGTCTCTCTATCCAGTACCTCCTTCTGTCTCAATCTCTCCGTACTAATCCATCACTTGACTCGGCCAATTTCCGTGGTCACAGGCTAACGTACCTAGAAAAGGTATACCAAAATAAAATGGACCCCAAGGGTCAGCAGAGCGATAAAATACAAGAAAACAAAATATAATCAGAAACAAATAAAATAAAATAAAATAAATAATTAGACTAGTGGAACGGCCGCACCACCAGCCTGGGGGGGTAGCCTCCCACTACATGGAGGCAGGTCGACGGCCAAAGGAAGGGGCGGGGGTACGTGCCAGTAAAAAACAAAAGACAAAATAAAACAGAATAAAGCAAAGACGAGGAAACAAACAAACTCGCACAGAGACAGGGATATCCCTAGAGACAGTCTGAACGCGACAGCAAACGGGGGAGAGGGCAACAGAAAAATTAGTCGTTGGAAACGGATAAAAAGAACAAAAACAAAAACAATAGAGTAAAGGAGGACCCTTCCCACACCCGCCCAAAGAAAAAATCACAAGGGTAACGTTCCAGCACCAGGCACCACGCACCAGGGCATGGGAGTAACGAAGCAAACAGGACGAAGAAGCGGCAGATGGGCAGACAGCCAGATGTACAAAAACAAAAGCAACAGCAAAAGCAAGATCGAGGTACCCAACACAGTCGAGTAGGCAGGGAGGACATGAAAAGAAACACAGCACAACTGTAGTGGCCGAAGGCCATTCAAAGGACATACATAAAGGAAGTAGGTGCGCCGTCGGGATTGCGCACGGGCTTTCAGCAGCAAAAGGGGGCTTAGGCAGTAGTCGCATAAGAGTCCCGCCCTCGAACGGAACACAGATGAAGGAGTAAGGGAGAGGACACGGACGACGTTGCCGGTCAGTAGGTGCATCTCGCCAGCCCCCTCAGGGGGTTGGGTGCTCTGCTGCCTCAGTGTCATTGGTACACAGCAGCAGCAGCAGTGCAGCGAGCAGCTGCCTCAGCAACAACGGTTAGACGCCTGGGAAGTCGCCGCGGCAAAGGAAGGAAGGTCGGCGGGATGAAGCGGAGGGGTGGTCTATACACTCAGTCTCCTGGGAGCCTGGGACAAGCCTGGGAGTGTGAGTCTTCGCTTCAGCATGTTGACCCTCTGGGTGGCAGCCCGAACCAACCCTGGGTCACGTCAACACTACCACACTACACCAAATTTTCTTTTCCTCTTAGGCACCAACGGGCACACGCGGTGCGATTGTTTTCGCGTCAACACCCTCAACCGTTACTAGTCTATATGTTGGCGTCAATCCTCAAAGAAAGGTCGAAATTCCGCGTCATTTTATGTGGATACCCTTTATCAGTGTACCGCATTACAACAATCCGGGGTAGTATGTAGGATTTGTTTTTGTTTTTTTGGCCTTCCGACAGTTGCAGGAATATTTGGAGAAATCAACACAAAATACACTGAAAGCCTACATTCTACCCGTTCGAGATATGACCGCAGTCGAACGGGATGTGTTGGAGTCTTCGCAGCGAGTGGAGGAAAACAAACCGTCTGGATGCTGGGCGTATTTCGAGTGAGTCTTTTTCAGCCTGTTTACGCTGAAACTTGATCATCAGTGATGCGAGCGGGTCCTATGGTCAGTCTGGGACAATTGGTTCATTTGAATTTCCGCGATATTTTGAAAGAAGAAATCGATTCAGGAGGAATACAAGCCATCTTGGTGATCCCCATAACAAGGCGAGAAACATAGTACATTGTTTTTTGACAGCCCCACACTAATATTAAGTAAATTCTGAGCTACCCCTCCGAAATAAATGTTGGAGACTGGGAGAAAATCAGGGTTTTAGACGGAAAACGGGATATCTTGCGAATCAGATTTCGAATTGAAATCTGGAAAAAAATACCCCTGAGGAATGTCGAGAGAGGAATCTAGTGCCGCCGTGGGCTTTGTCAATTTCTGTGGTTAAATATAGATAGGTGGAAAAAGCGAACAAATGCCCTCTGAATTCCGGTTTTTGGCCGGTAACTTCTTTGATCTTCACTCAAATCAAAATCGGAAAAGTTTTACCCCTTGGGAATTTCGAGAGCTGTCCAAATCCGGTCTAAAATTGTCGTCTGCATAAACACTCCCCAGCAAAAAGCGAACAAGATTTTCCGGTTATTCCAAAATAATAGCCGGAAAAAAAACAAAACTAAAGATCGCTTTCCACAGGGACCTGCGCCTGGAGAAAACGCGTTTGCCGGTACATGTACTTTTGGTTTTGGGAACAACCACCTGTTTGCAGAGAAACAATTCCCTAAACAAACGTAGCTCGGAATCGTGGGAAAATTGTCCGAGACTGACCATGCATCACAAGACATCTAGAAGAGATTCTCCCCGGTAGGATCTGTTATTTCTGTCTGTTTCTCGTTTGTGAATACGGTACAGAGTAGTGTACCTTGGGGTAGTTTTCTTGAGACCACCGAAGGTGTCCGCATCAGTTGGGCCAGTAGGGATACTAGAAGGCATGCATTCTGATCGGAGACCGGAAGACGGTTTGATGTGGAGAAGTGGAGACAACAACAACAACCATCTTCCGCGGAATATTTGTTTAGGAGACGAGGGACTCTCAACATCTCCGCGGGACTGTCAAAATTCGGCACAGCACAGTGTAGACTAGTTCATCAAACGACTCTACAGCTGCCTGTTATTCGTCGCGAACCCCTTCAGTCGCCATCAGCTACCCGCGCTTCAACACACGTGCACACGCAGTATGAGAGATCCTATATCTGCATGTAGTTTTGCTGCTACCAACGGGCGCCGTCAAAAGTTATTGAGAGCTGTAGACGGCAGTTCTTTTTTATAATATGTAAATTTATGTTAGAACCAAGAAAACCACGCGTGTGGCGAACCAAGCATCGCAACGCGGGCGGGGGTCTGTTATAGTAGTTACGCTTTGTCCCAGCAGACAGCAACAAACAGGCTCTCTCTGCTGTCACCCAGCTTTCTATGGGCTACTCAATGAGAGCAGCAGAGGAAACTCCATCTATAGCAGCAGTAGTATCTACAGCTGTGAGGAGAATCGTGCATGAACTAGAAGAGGCTGACTGCTGCTGTGACCTACATTTATTTAGCGTACAAGGGGCTCCATCGCAAAGCATCACTAGAGGAGGCTGGCTCTATCGTGTGTTTCTTCTTGTGCTGCAGCTGGTGCTGCTGCTGCACACCTTTGTACGCACAGAAACTATGTGTGTTAAGCCCTCGCTCTGTGTACCATGGCACTGCTTCGTGACGGTACATGTAAGTACTCCGCTCTACATGTTGGACGTACCATTTTGTAGCAGCAGCAGTTACACCGCACATGGGACGGAGCCCCCACGTACCCACTAGCACAAATTCTTCAATCAGGGGGGGNTTGGTGAAATTGAGAGCGAAGCATCTGATTGAGAGCGAGATTGCGCGATGCGCTGCAGCTGGACTACTGCTGAGAGGTGGAGCTTGCTGTGTAGCTTGAACTGAAGGGCCAGCCCGTAGCTACAAGCAGATACCCGGTCATCCTGTGGGAGTCTCTCGATGTGGAGTTNGACATACAGGAGTGCCGGTCCGCACTTGAGAATATGGCACTTAAGAATTTGATGCTAAAAAATCCAAAACTTGAGGATTTACCGATAAGAACACATTCGTACTCAGCTGCACGCAACATCATATTGGTGAAATTGAGAGCGAAGCATCTGATTGAGAGCGAGATTGCGCGATGCGCTGCAGTTGGACTACTGCTGAGAGGTGGAGCTTGCTGTGTAGCTTGATGAACTGAAGGGCCAGCCCGTAGCTACAAGCAGATACCCGGTCATCCTGTGGGAGTCTCTCGATGTGGAGTTCAGCGGCGAGCAGAAGCTACAGCAGAGCCCACCGCCCGAGGCCAAACCGCCTTGCAACAGTTTGAGGCAGGAATAGCCAATCTAGGGAAATCTAGCAACTTGGCTAGCTCGTAGCTTCAGCATCCGATGACGATGACACGCATATGCTCGTGACGCTGCTGATGAGACCTTCAATTTGCGCCGCTTCTTGGAAGAGCCCGCCCCCAACTTCCCAGGAAATGGCAAGAGGCGTCTGGACCCGAATTTTAAATGTTTTGGCTCTCGCTCTCAATTTCATGCTTCGCTCTCAATTTCATCAATATGTTGTTACGCCCTGTCGGGAACAAGAACACACACCAGAGGTGCAAAACTGATGCTACAAATAAGAACGACAGCGATGCTGCGGCTGCCAGATAAAAATACTCGCAGGGGGAGGGAGGGAAGAGGGGGGAGCGATCCCAGAGTACAGAGTATTGGATTTGGGAGGGGTACATACCCCACATATCAACATTTGTATTTTTTTAGAAGGGGAGGGTGGGCATTGATTGTACGCACGCGTCGTGCCCCTGGGTGCCCCCGAGAAAAGCGTGATGCGCGGGCGGGGTGCGCTCCCCAAGGCGAGGTCCATCCTTATCATAGACAACTTGCACGCGCAGACCACGGACGAGTTCAAGGAGTATCTTACGAAGCACTGCAACACTCTCGCCTGGTATGGCCCTTCGGAGTGCACGGACGAGGTGCAGCCAGTTGATGCAGGAGCCGGACGATTTCTCAAGGTGGAAGTCGGGAGGCACATGGAAATATGGCTAGAGCAGTCGGGCGACCTCGAGAGGTGAGAAACCGCGTCGCTGACAGCTTCTGATCGGCGCGCCCTGATCACTCAGTGGATGGGAGCGGCCATGGCAAGACTCGACAGCCAACAGGCGTACCGATAGCGCCTTTTCGAAAAGTGCGGGATGGCCATGACCGTGGACGGCTCGGGCGATGATCGAATCACCTTGGAGGGTTTGGACAAGCCGTATACCTTTGCTGACGATGAAGACAGTAGCGACGACGAACAAGGTTTGGAGAACGGCAACGATGAGCGTGAGGGGCGGGCGGAGGAGGGCGATGGAGGACGTGAGACGCTCATGGAGGGCGTTGACTCCAGCGATGAAGACGACGGCGGTAAGTTTGTTTTGCACAAAACCAACTCATCATCTTCTTATTGTTGATGATGTCCTTCATGTTGACGTTAGCTTGTTTCCGTGCACGGCTACACTCAAGTTGTGATAATAAGTTCAGGTTGAGTTTGGCGACGTGACACCCTATCTTCTTGTGTTTCCTGTTGCCTCGTTCGCAGACATCTCTCAACCCCAGACCGACGAGCTAGCTCTTCTGGACGACGACGATAGCATGGAGCCACAAGACCCGGAGGATGAGATACAGGGAAAGGAGATCCCGGCAGGCTTTCGTATTCAAGAAGCGAAGCCCGTTGCTCTTGACAGATTGCTCTTGCGGCGTGGAGTGCTCGTTAGGCTGGGCATGGGGTGGTTTCGAGGGCTGATCACTCAACAATCTCAGAAGGACACTCGCCACCTGTACAACTACTGTGTGCAGCTGAAGCTATTATAGACCAGAGTACGCGCAGATGAAGTTGCCCTTAGACAAGTACAGCGGAGATTCGGATGCGGCTGTAGGCATCTGTTTTTTTTCTTCTTAGTATCACACAACAAATCCATCTCTATCTATAGGAATAAGCCTAAGATAGATTAGCAATGAGTCCATAGCGTGAGCGAAAGCTACCTGTATGTCTACGGTTTCCCAGACAGCTCCGAAAACCAGCAGAGGTGGGGGAGTAGCTCAGACGAATGGCTGCGTGTGCGCTCCTTCATGTGCATACTTGGCTGACTCTTTGAAGGGTAGAACTCTGTCTGGTTCAGTGGAATTTTGGCGGCATTTCGGCATATCCGGTATTTGCCGTTGTCACCTGGATGCATGGGACACGTAAATTTGTCACTCTACTTGCAAGGGACACGTTTCATTTTCAGTGTCCCCCATTGCGGTTTCGTTTGAGAGCATTATTATCAGTAGATCAGGAAGGGTACGCAGGACCAACGTCACCCTTGTGGACCAAAAAGGTTGACAGTTGCTGCTCCATGCCTTGGTATTTTCTTGTATCGACAGCAGTAACTACTAGTGTTGTTGCTCATGGTTGACAGCCGACAATAATATAGCAAATGATGTTCAAATACTGCAAGAACAAGAACGCCCCTTTCTGGAGAAGAATAGACGACGAAATAAGAACTTGGCAAATAAGAACTGGTGCTCGGGTTGTGGCAGCCAAAAAGAACTGAGCCTCGCCCAATATAGGAGGTTCTGAAGTGCAGGCCGGCACTGTATATATATGTCGCTTCTTTGTGACCTGGGCTGCGGGAGGTGTGTGTGTGTGTGTGTGTGTTTTCGTCCTATTTTTATGGCGACAGTCCCCCCATTTTCCGTGGCGAGACGTGTATTGCACTTTTCAGCGTATGTATGTAGACTAGAGTATTACACTTTTCAGTGTATTTTTTCGTACAACTACAACCATCCAGGGTCACACAGGAGGGGGTAAACACCAGGGCCCTCTTCTTCTTTTTATTTCTTTTCATGCCCCACCTCCCTCCTGCGGTGCGTGCTGAACTTTATTTTTATCGCGAGAAGGGTCCAGCCGTCCCTTTCCCTCGTCAACGGTGCTAACTAACGTCGAAGTTTGGTACTCACGAGCGCTTTTTAGCTATACTTCGCTTTCACCCGCAAATAATTTGGTAAATTTTTCACCACATAAAGATTCGAACTCACGACCTCTGCGACTAGCGGATTACGAGGATGATACCACTAGACAACCGGGGCGACCGGTGTCTCCCCGGAAACCATAACGACTGTACAACACATCAGCAGCAGTAGACAACACATACATTATTAGAGCTGACACAACATAGATAGCAGCAGCAATGTACATATACAACAGCCGCCGGGCTGCTGCCAGGCTACTCGGATTCAGGCTATTACTGCTGTAGCACAGACGGTTGCTTTACTGCCATGAGCTAGCACGGAATGGACTGGCAGCCACCAAGTAGTCTAGGTGTGTCGCAGCTGTGTGTGTGATGGCTGTGTGCTTCGGTTAGGAACCGCAGAGCAGCGTGGATCTACCCTGTCCTCCAAGTGTGTACATGGGACAGGTAACACACATCATAGACGCGCACATGTAGCATACGGCATCGTCCTCACAGCTCTTACTCCCTGCACGTTCCTCTCTCTGTCTCTATTTCTGTTGGAGTTCACGCTGTGTCTCTCGATTCTCGACCCGGACTTGCCTGACTTAATCAAACTGCTGCAGGGGCACGCCACAACTGCATACCCCGGACTTGAAAAATCTTCAAGTAATGGGGGGGGCGGGGGGGGGCAACACCTACGGACATATCTGTCGCTTCTTTGTGACCTGGGCTGCGGGAGGTGCGTTCCCGGACACCAAAACGCCGGTCCAACACTTCAGCAGCAGCAGCAGGCAACACAGCAGCAGCAAGAAACAAACAGCCTGCCACCGTAATGGCCACTGGTGCCAGCCTGCTCGCCTGCATGGCCATAACTACTGGTGTCACGCACCACAACTGCTTCCTACGTCACCTCTACCATGGACGGATTGAAGGACCCGCCACGCACTTCCAACAGCCAACATGATAGTGTACAGCTTGCTTACAGCAGTAGCACCACCTACCTGTCCAAATGTCAACCNTGCGGGAGGTGCGTTCCCGGACACCAAAACGCCGGTCCAACACTTCAGCAGCAGCAGCAGGCAACACAGCAGCAGCAAGAAACAAACAGCCTGCCACCGTAATGGCCACTGGTGCCAGCCTGCTCGCCTGCATGGCCATAACTACTGGTGTCACGCACCACAACTGCTTCCTACGTCACCTCTACCATGGACGGATTGAAGGACCCGCCACGCACTTCCAACAGCCAACATGATAGTGTACAGCTTGCTTACAGCAGTAGCACCACCTACCTGTCCAAATGTCAACCCTTTCCTCTAATCGTGTACATGGATAGGTATAACCGCACACCATAGATAGGTGCACACATAACCTAGCACCGGCGACAGTTACGGTTGCCGTAGGGGAGTTAAGAAAGTTACGCACGCCACTCCGTGGGATGAAAGACAGTCGTACAATGCCCCAGGCGAGTGGACGGGTGTGTGGCCTGGAGTTCTTCTGCATGTACAACGGTTCGGGTGGGGCAAGGCGTATCGACGAGGAGTTTGCACTTGCTGAGCGTTCGAACGATTCGAAATCCCATGGAGCCAAGTTGTAGTTGTTGTTGTTGTTGTTTCTCACATTAGCTCTAAAAAAGAAAGATGGGGAGCCCGTGGTCTCAAAACCCGGCATACACGACCCCACGAAGAAACAGAAAAAAATAGGGTACAAAAACCACTCGGAAGAGAAACAAAATGATAGAAAGAAAGACCAGCTACCGCACCAAACGAGAAAGAGCGTCGAGGAGACCGATCAAAATAAAATAAAAGGAGAACGGGGAACGCTTCCCACACCCGCCTACAACGCCGGAGGGTTCCG